GTACTCCTTCAACCATAATCAAGTAGAAGAGGGAGAGGGGATATTAAGAAAGATAATTATAGTATTTTAGGAAAAACGTGTCACATTTTTTATAATTAACTAACTTACCTAACTTCCTTAATCTAATCAAATTAGTTAAATGAGTCTTATATTAAGAACTGGAGGAGTAACTTTTATATTAAGAATCCAAAGTAATAGAATGTTAAGTAATAGTGATGGTATATAGTAGAGACAAACTAGTATAGAACTACCATAGATTTATAAGTCAACAAAAAAATTGATAACATGGTGATGAATTGTGAAAGCATTGTTGTTTGAGCCACCTGTGTTGTGAGGTTTGAGTTGTTGTTAACTTACATGCGCGATGACTGGCCTGGGATATGTCTAAGCATCTGAACCACTAATTTTCCTAAAACAAATCCTCTGAATTTAATTATGTGGTCATATCAAGCAACAACAATAATTATCCATATCCAATACTTTTCTTTAACAATAAGTTCATTGCGTGATCAGTTGTGTCTCTTGAATGTGTCATCATCTTTCCTTAATTACCATAAGAACAGCTGAAACCAAAAATTAGCTGCCACACCCAATCGCGGCAATGCTCATGGGACTGTTGACAAAGTCGAAAATTCTTTATACAACTACCAAAAACAACAGCCCCAACAAAAAGCCTATAGTACTTTTTTTATGTAATTTTATTAACAAGTCCAATCTGCACAAGCTTCCATACTTTTCTGGCCCGAAACAATTAACAGAAACCGAAAAGAAACCACTAAACCTCACAGGCAGGCCTGGCCCATAACGGGCCCATGGCATTGAATGTGGGCCGAATAGGCCTAGTCTAACCATGACACTCATCCCGTCTTGGGCTCGTTGTTGTGCAGAGGGTGTTAGGGTCTAATTATTTATGGGCAGATTACAATGAATTTTAATTATTTACAACTAATATCGTGTCATTGATTATTTTTATTTGCAACTGCGGAAATAGAAGAAGAGAAGAAAACGAAGAAAGAGGAGGTAGAAGTGAAAAGGGAAGGTAGAGGGTTTGGTGGTCATCGGTGAATGGTGAATGGCGATCCCTTTGTTTTATTTATAATAAAAGTTAAAATATTCAAGAAATGATAGTACAATATAATTGCCACGATTTTCAATAAAAATTCACCGACAAGGAGAAAAAAACGAACAAGAATGGTTAAAGAATTATAATTAATTAGGAGGTGTGGACTGTGGAGTGAACGCAAAGACCTACGGTGAAAGCACGTGAACGAGAATGGACCCTCCATTTCAAATTTCAATTGTCTTTCAGAATCGCCTCTAAGAAAATTTGAGATGGTCAATTTGAATAATAAAGTACTCCTTCGATATTTAATATAAAACCTATTTAACTAATTTGATTAGATTAAGAAAATTAAGTAAGTTAGTTAATTATAAGAAATATGATATGTTTTTTTTCTAAAACACCATAATCATCTTTCTTAATATCCTCCCTCCCTCACTTATTTGATTATGATTAAGAAAGTATCCATAGAGATAATTTAGAAAAAAATTAATAAATATGATAAATAGATATTATATTTAGGACCAAAATTAGCTTAACAATTAGGTCATCTATTAAGAACGAAGGAGTATAAACATTCTAACAAGAGATGTCATTGATGTTGCGAATAACTACATTATATAGCCTAATAACTCCATTAAAATTGATTAAAAGCGATAAATATGGGGGGGATATTTTTCTCTTGGATGCACCCTTAAAATATGAAAGAAAATGAATAAAAAATATGAGAGAAACGTCTCATTACTTGAAGATAAAATAAAAGAACGTATTATATCTGTTCAAAAAACTGTACTCCCTATATCTCTTATTATAAGATCATTTTAACTAAATTATACGGTTTAAAAAGATAGTTACAATTAGTTAAAAACAATTAATATCTAGTAAATACAATTTTTTTTCAAATATACCCCTATATATAAATGGATAGATGTAAGAGAAAAACAGTAAAATGGAAGGGGTAACGTATAAATGTGATTATATGACTAAGGGGAGTGTTCCCGACACCAAGACGGCCTCAATGTGAATATATGTACGGTCAGGTTAAGAGAGAGTAAAGGGGATGTATAGAGCGGGTGGGATCAGATGTCGCCGCCGGGGGGGGGTCCTCCTCTGCTGCTTCCTTCTTAATCCCTTCTTTTCGTTAATCAAAATAAATTATTAATTAATGCCTAACTGGCCGTACTTTACTAAATAATAAGAGCAGCATGCATGACATGGGTGGGGCAGGGCAGGTGAGCTCTACTGACTTAGCTTCTTAATTAACTAATTATAGTCATATTACCTGACAAATCCCCTTTCATTAATCTCAAAGTTACAGCCCAGACTCGCCTGGATTTTGTGATTTACACCCCCCCAAATCCCCCACACACTTCCTATTTTATTATTATTATCATTATTCACACCAAACCTCACTCTCTGTCACTTCATTCATTTGCTTATGATTTGCATGCACTCCTTTTCAAATATGCCTCCTTTTCCTCCCATCCCAATTTTTGGTCCCTGTTAGGTACGTTTGCTATGAGGAAAATAGAAAAGGAGAAAAGGGAGGAGAGAAAAAAATTAATTGGCCCGATTTAAAAAAATTAAAAAAAATGAGATTAAAAGCTTTCAATATATTTTTATTACTCTTTTATATCTTACAACTTCTTTTTGTTAAAATTTTAAAGTTCTACTTCTCTAACTTTTTAAATTGAATTTATTAAAATTTTTTCTTTCATTTCCTCTCCTCCACTTTCCTAAATCCCCCAACCATGTGTGCCCTAGGCAAACGCCATTAAAGTCCAGCCCTTACACAGTTTTCTTCATTAATAGATTTTCTTCCCCCAATAATAGATCACATATTCATTATATATTTCTTATAAAGAGTTCAAAATCATAAACTTATGTCTAGAAAAGACTTGACGAGAGTGTTTTGATGTGCCTTAGATTATAAAGCTCCAATCTTCAACCGAGTTTAGAATTATGGTCATACTTTCCTCCCTCGCATATGACTACTTTGATCAAAATATTCTCCCACAAATATGTGTTTTATCGCGTAAATTGTAATAAATTCAATTTATGATTTTCTTCCCCAGTGTAAACAGTAAAGATGTTAGTCATTTGAATCTTCTTTCTGAAAAGAAATTAACAAATCTACGTTCCTTCAAAAGATCATATTCACCAATGCATCAATATCCGTATATTATACTGTTAAAACTAATGCATTAAATCACATATTTGCATATAATATAGAAAAATCGGATCTAGTCAGTACCGATATAATCTTGAAGATACAATATAATAGTTGTCCACATATGCGCATCTTTTTTAGTTCTGGGGTCACATGATTTATTTTTTCGTTCCCTTGGGTACCTCTTTTAGGTACAACAAATAGAAATTAAAATAATGACATGCCATTAGCTTTTGCGAACCACTTGCGTTGGAATTTGAAAACGACCTCGTCTGTGTTGACTTTTCATGTTGTTGAAATCCACATTATAGACCTAACTTTTTCATTTTTTCTGTCGCCCTCCTTTTTCCGCCCTTTAATTTCGTAGCTGATTTAAGATTTGTTTGGATTAATTTATAAATAGATTTTCAAACATGATTTACAGAATACGAGATACATATATCAAGAGAGTTTTGTCTTGACTTATGTAAACTTGTTTAAAAGTTTGTTTTAAACAGAGATCCAAACAAGCCCTTGTTCTGCATCTATCTTCCGCTACAAATTGGCTTATGCTAAGCCGAATGAGGATGAACCCCTAAAGCAAGAAGGGCAAAACAGCAAAACAACTAGAGATTAGTTTATTGAATCATATCATATGGATGTTAACATATTATCGGCATGTATATGCAATTGAAGATTGAACATTAATACTATTTTTAGTCTTAATATAAAATCTAGTTAACTAATTTGATTAGATTGAAAAAATTAGTTAAATTAGTTATTTGTAATAAAAGAATATTATTATTTCTAAAATACCTTTACTAATTAAATGTATTCGTATGAACTAGTATTATCACAAAAATTATTTTGAAAAAAATACATAAATATAAAAAATAAAATAGATTGAGATCTTATATTTAGTATAAAAAAAAAAATAAACGAGTCTTTACAGTAAAGATTAGAGATAGTATTATTAATATAAAATATAAACAGAACATTATTTTTACGTAGGATCTATGTACCTATTTGTGACTGAGAATATGTAAAATGAAACTGGTATTTGGTTTTTGGGTGAAAAGAGACGAGGTAAAGTTGGAAAGGGAAAAAGAGGGGCCAGAAAAGAGCCTCGAAGCAGTGGGGGCTCAGAAAGGGACACGGCAGACGAGGGCTACTTTTTGAAGAGTTGAAGAAATCAACGCCATAAGCAGACAAAAATAACCCCTCACCCTCTGCTTGCTGCTGCATTTTTCTAATTAATAATTAAGACAGAGAGAAGAACACAGCAAGTGGTGTGGGTGTGAGTGAATGAGGCTGATTCCATTTTCATGTCTCAATAATTTAAACCATCATTATCTTCATCCCTGCTCTTTCTTTTGCAGAACCCCACATTGTACCTTCCCCTTCTCTTTCTCTCTTCTCATTTAATGCCCCCCCCCCCCCAAAAAAAAAAACTCCTTTGTTTGCTCACACATCATCTTCTTCTTCATTCATCTTTTAAATCACACTTAATTACAACACTCAAATTGCTGTTCATTTGTTTAATCATGCATAAAAGAATTGAGTATGAGCAAACAAGAGGAAAAAGTTGCGAGGGAGAGGATTAAAATAAGAAAGGAAGGAAAGAACGGGGGGGGTGCATGGGTTCGTGGTCATTTCTGGGAGGGAGTGAACCCCGGGTAGGGTCTACCCCTTTCACCGCTCTTTTGTCAGTTTCCTCCTTCCCTAATGTACTCTCTCTCTTTTTAACTCCTCTCTTCTTATATCCCCCATTCCCTTCCCTTCGTGCCTCTCCCCTCTTATCATCCTCTTCTCTCCCTGTTTCTCTCTCTCTCTCTTCCCGCCTTCACGCAGGCGGCACTGTTGGAGGGATTCAAAGAGCTCAGGGATCAGAGAATATGGGGTTAATTTGGAGATGATAATAATATATGGCAGGAAGCTTTGTGTTTTGAGGGGAATGTTGTCTGGCTCGAGGACCCTTCTTCTTGATCCGCTCTCTCTCCATCTGTCGCTCATGTTTGGAGATTGTGGTCAGAGGTTCAAGTGTCGTCGGACCAGGCTTCATTCCCCCCAATTTTTTGCTTCCGCAGAATTGTACGCTCAGATCTCTGTCTGCTTCGGAAGGTTTGGTTCTTCTTCACTTCCTTCTTATTCTCTATTCTGAATCTTCCCCGTGATTTGTTCGGTTCGAGTTTTGTATTTTTGTTAATTTTAGACGGATCTGAAGCTTATGGGTTTTTGTTTTCCGAGAAATTAAAGTTGTGGGTTGTGCGCAGATTGGTGTAATGATGAAGTATTTTGACCAATTTCTCTCATAAAGGCTTTCATCATTACCTCCTTTCCGTTCGTTTTCTTCCTTTTCCTCTGATCATGTTATGATGATGTTCTCAGAATAAAAGGAAGTAAAAAGTAAGTTCAGTTTATTTTCTCTTTCGGGTGTCAGGTCAAACACTTTCTTCATCATTACCCCAGATCTTGTTTCTCATCGTGTTTTCCAGTGTCCGATCTGTCTGTTTCTGTCATATTTTCTCAGATCTGGCCGCCTATTAGCTCAGTTTCGCCGTTGCCATTTTTTATTTAAATATTTCTCTATATTTAGGGTTTCCAGGACTAACATTGGGCTTTGATCTGAAGCTTTGTATGCCAGATGGAGGAGAAAAGTGGTGACCCTTTTCGTCATTTCTCCCATGCTAACTCTGATAATAAAGTGAAGTCCATATTTGATTAGGATCTAGGATCAATTTTTGTTCCTTCTGCCCTCACAAACGCCCACGCACGCCCTTTCTTATATTGGATTCTGCTTCCCACAGTTGTATAAAAGTCCTACATTTTGTCCTTGGTGAACAAGAAGTCCTACATTTGAATGGAAGATACAATGCAGATCTTATAACTTGTGAGTCTGCCACTTTTTTATTCATTTTGTTCATAACAAGTTTACAACTGGGATGTCGCTGGCTTGTTTGGGTTCAACTATATCTTCTTATAGATCTGCGCACTGATGGATCTGAGCATGTAGATGCAGTAGTGTAGGAAGTAGTGTAGAACTAAGTTGTTGCAAGTACATGTCATTGCTTCGTTAAGCAAAGGGCGATGTCATGAAAAGTCTAACTAGCTTCTCAGATTGAGCCTTTTCTATTTCATATTAGACGAACTTCTGACAGATTACCTAATAATGGGTTATAATGCCGCCAACCTCTCCAGATTCTACGGAATTACGTCTAGAGAATGTTTGGGTATAGATTGGAGAAACGAAGAATGAAAGACTCTGCTACATAATATTTTCCTCCTTTGATGTGTCTGATACATTCTTCTCAGGTCCAAAGTCCAAACATATGTTTAAGCAAATACCTTTACTGCAGGTGAAGAGTATACGAGAAACCATCACAGATGTGGTGCCTACTAATCAAAGCTTGCTAGTTTGTGCTATTCTCCTAGATACAGTTTGCATCTACGGGAATTGAATCAATGATTAATGTAATTATAAGGGGGGTCACCTTTTTTCAATTTCTTTATTGTTTTATCTTTCTTGCTTGGCAACACAAGGAATCGGAAATTTGAAGGGTGAAGAGACAGCAAAAAATTAATTCCAAGAGGGCAGCATGTGCAGAATGCTAGGCAAAGCACAAGAGTCAGCAGCTAGGTAGAGGCATGTAGGGGAACACAAGAGGAATGATATGCACGGTGTTCACTCACTGAACCGGGTCATATCAGATCACTATTTTCTTAGAAAGAAAGAAGGAAAACTCTGTAGGCTCTTTTGTTATTCTCTGATCTCGAGATACGAGACACGTGATTATGTATGAGTAAAGGATCCAATTTGACTCATTTGTTTCTTCATTGATTGCACACTTGGATGTGGTTTCAGTTCACACTGAAAACGATCACAAGCTTTAAAAGCAAGTCATGTGTATGGATTTTTCTGCGGTATTCAACGTTGATTAGCAATAAAAGAGGCTTATATTTATTTCCGTCGTGAACCCTGAAGTTGACGATGACCTCTTGAAGAGATAAAAAGCTAAGTGCATAAAATGAAAAGCTAGGAAACAGGATGTCTCTCTCTTTCTTTTTTTTCTTTGTTTGGTAAAGCCTATTCTAATTTTGACTCGGGGATTGATTGATTCCATGAAAAGCTGAGACCTTCATTCAATTTACTCCATCCCTTTTCACCGTTTCCATTTGTCTTGATAATTTAATATCAATATCAATACCATTAGTGATATTTGATGATTCTATGTAGTGCTTCGCCTTCATTTTTTCTTGAAAAAAGAAATCATTTCTACTGCCAAAATTTAAAGCGTATGGACCACCTCAAGTCCGTTCTTGCGTTTTACTAAGCTGAATATAGGCCTGGCTTAAAGGGGCTAGCACCATTTCAAACTCACGCCAAGTGCACAAAATTATTAAACACACCCGTAAATGGAAATTGAAATTCTGAGGCTAATTTCTCCTGTAAAAATCTCAAATACAAACAACGAATACGACCCATTATTTGAAATACCGTTAATTCGTACATTACATTGTGTATCTCTGCTGATGTGTCCATCTAAACAGAAGATCCTCCTACGAAATCCATATTGAGACCTGATTCCCACATAAAGCAGCGAGTATTCAAATTTGTCTCCTTAACCCACTTTAGTATAATATCATGTTTGTTGTGAAAATGAGAACACCGATGTCTCAAAAAGAAGAGGCTTTTGGGAAATTGGATCTTTTTGACCTTTCAAAGGTTCACAAAGTTCATCCAACCAACCCTCCCTTTGCTTTCTGGCTTTCACCATGATATATGTGTATGAGAAAGTATGCAGAATGGGGTCGTGACTCGTGACTCATGCCAGTTCAATTCCAACGACGTTGCCTTTATTATGGCCTCATTTGACTTGACATTTCCACCTAAATAATTGATGCCGTCCCAATGTAAATCTTCCAACTTGCTCCTTTTTTTTTGTTGTATTTTTCAATTCAAATTTTAAAACCAAATTATGACTTTGATATAAAAATTTATTTTCTTAGAACAAACCTCATTCAACTATTGTCTACAATATACCCATTGATATTAAGAACTGAATTCCAAATGATATATTAAGAGTTCCTATCACTCATGTCAATTAAGAAAATAGAAAGGAAAATAAAAGTATATTGAAAAAATCAATGGATAATTGTGTTACATACTGTGGTCAGACATAATAAATGAGAAGACGAGCTTCACTTTGCCTCTTTGCCGTTGCCCTCATTCCCCCCCCCCCTCAAATACTTGTCGTTTTAAAAAGTATTCCCTCCGGTCTTTATTATAACTTTATAAGTTTCAAATAATTAATTCAAAAACAATAAAAAATTAATTGAAAATAATAAATATGTTAGAAATATATTTTTATTTTTAAATATGCTCTTATAATAAATGAGAAAAATGATGAAAGAGAATGCGTGGAAAAATATGATAAGAGAAAAACAATGAAGGGCAACATTGAAAAATATATATTAAGTGTTAAAATAAATCTAAATTGAAACTTATAAAATAAACTATACTCTTTTTAAAATTTAAAGCTTATAAATAGAATCAGAGAGAGTAGGTTTTAAATTTAAAGAAACAACTAAAAGTCATGTTCAAGCCATATATATATGGACAATGGAGGGAGGAGGGTTGCATGGAAAGCGGTAGGGTGTACTATATTGTGAGTGTGAAGTGAAAAGAGATGAGGCCATATAGTCAAAATAAATGTATGTAAATTGGTAGGGCAGGGTGTGGAGTGTGATTAGAGCTTTTGACATGTGCTAGTGGAATCCATAGCTGGGCACCTTTCCTTTCCTTTCACCTTTTTCCTCTTCATTTCTACTTACTAGACTTGTCTCCCTCACTTGCTAGGCTATAACTGTAAGCCTCCCTCAACTATTACTCACACTCTTCCATCAATGACCTTCACTTTAATTTTGCATTGTACAAAGTATCAAAAATGTATAATTTGTTATGGTTAATTAATTATACTTATTGATATTCATATGCTGTTATTTTTTTGGTAATAACCATATCTATCAAAGAAACCATCCCATGCATCAGTTATGAGGGCTAGTTGGGAAAAAGGTAATTGGGATTGTGCTTGACGATAGCAGCTGATTTTAATACAAAATTCAAAGTTTCAATACATGCTGGGTCTTATCTATATTTCAACCTCATATTAACATATTGTGAAAACTTCTCTCGTCTATATGTTTCAGAGAGTCTGCGTGATGAGTTACTTTATTTATGATTTATGAATAATAAAACGTTATAAATGCATGCTATTTTTTATATTAAATTTGATGAATTTAGAAATTTATTTTTTGGTCGTATGAAAAGTTTTGAATCCTGGCCATTACCCACTCCGCTCATTTTATCATTCATTTATAAGAGCTAATCTCAAGTGCATCTCATAAAATGATTATTTGAGAGGGGTGTGTACAGTTAGCACTTAAAAAGATCTCGATACTTGTGCCAACAAAGAATTCTTATCAGGCTTATTTATGTGGAACTCATAATAGGATGGGCTTAAATCCTACTTCAAACATTTTTAGTCCTATTTCTCTCAATCTATTTATAGGCCTGTAAAAATGCCGCATGCCAAACCAGGCCCTCCGCAGGTTCAAGACTAAGTCTAACAAAGAGCTTGTATGTAGGCTTTAGCCCATGCTCACTCTCTTAGCCTCAGGCCTTTTTTTTTTTTCCCACCCTATTTTGTCATTCAGTATCATTTGTACAACACCATCAAAAGTTGGGCGTAGAAGAAGTGGTTAGTTCCTTATGATGTAGTTACTAGTTAATCAAGGGAATAATCTCTTTTGGAAAAGGTATTTATATTTAACGCTTGACAGTAACTCGAACAAGATTGTCTAGAAGAATAATTCTACCAGGTTAAAAAATTGTACAACCATCTGGACCACCCAAAACGATGAGACAAAAATCCAGATGGGGCCTACTTTAAGATGAGGTCGAATTAAATAAGACCGGGCCCAAGCCCACCCCCTGATTGATACTGATTTCTTAAAGAACTACAATGAGCCATCATATCTTTCGACCAGCAGATTTTTCGAACCCACTCCCTCGAAACTACTAAACCCCAATATAAAATTCAGTTACTTTTGAAACATTCAAGACATTAAATACTACCTCACCTAAATTTATAAATATATATACTTATAATTATCGACTTGGAAGGTAATGTGACGAATGCATCATTTCAAGTATTACAATCCCACTTGGAAACAAACAATGAACGCTCCTTGCAAATCCACGGAGAGGTGACATTGTTAAATAGCAAACTTTGGTCCTCTCTCATTTCCATCCCCTTTGGGTGCCGCCACAAGCAAATACCCATCTCTTCCATTGGTTTTTTTGTTTTTGGTCAACATCTTCCGGTAGTAGCTTAAAAGTCTATTCTTATCCAGAAAGCACCAAATCATAAAACCCTTCTTCCCAACTGCAATACCCCATTTCTCAAAACCAAGAAGCCATTCATTCAATCTTTGTCCTCCAAAAAAAAAAATCTTTGTCCTCCCCCATCTTCTTCTTCTACTTGGCGGACTTTCACCGTTATTCCCTCGTCTGAAACTTTTGCAAAACGTACCAATTCTGGAGTTCATCACCAGAAGTGTGAAGCGATTGCTGATGGTAGGAAGCGGAAATAGGAGCTTTAAACTGAAAGAACTTGGGATCGCCACACAGCATCCGCATCATGGAACTGATAATACTGAGAGCGATCATGAGGAGAGATCAAAAGCAGGGATAATAAAGAGATATATGGCGCCGCCAAGAGGGTGGTTGGCGATTAAAATAGGTAGAGAGGTGCAAGAGAGAATAGTGGTGCCGGTGAGTTACTTGAATCACCCTCTGTTTGCAGAGCTGCTGAAGCAGGCAGAGGAAGAGTATGGGTTTAAGCAAGAAGGAGCCATAGCCATCCCTTGCCAGTTGAAGCATTTCAAGTATGTTGAAGCCATCATTCACAGGGAACACCACCATCATCGTCTTGTTGGATGCTTCAGGCTTTGATCACATCATCCCTCTAAGCAAAACTTCATCTGTCATATCCATCCTAGCTATCTGATATTGTAATTTGCTTTTGCTTTTACTGTCTCGCTCTTGTATATATTACTCTATCTTTCTACTGTTAGATTTCGTGTAGTTCGGTTTGGTTTTTTATCACTAAAATTGCTAAGCAAGTTCGAGATTTTTTTTTGGCGGCCTGACGAGTACTTCACCAATCAATTTCTTCTCAAAAAGAAATGAACTTGTTGACTTATTGTTGCAACTTTATTAAGCCGATGGCTAAAGACGTGTTGGGGCGTCGTCGGATTAGGAAAGTTATGTGTGGTCCTGTGTCTGGGGCTGGTAACTTCACCATTCTCTTTGACACGAGTTTGAAAATGCAAACACGAACACAGCTTATAAAAATGCGGGAGGAGAGAGAAGCAAGCAATCGAGTTTGTCAATATTTTCTTAATGGAATTATTGGAAATTTTCTTATGCTTTATTGAAATTATATACATACATTTTCCTTCTATCTATTTTCAAAATCTATTTAAATTTCTCGTGTTTTTCACTATTGTTTTTAATGCCAACTTCTCCCTTTTTTTCATTAAATCATACGACATAAGCGTCCTTTTTGTTGACGACATATATAATGTTTTTTTTTCAAAAAAATAATTAAACATTCTTTTCATTGGTTTTGGACTAACTATTTATTTTCTTTTCTTTTCTGCCAAATTTGAACTAACTACTTTACTGAGTAGTTTAGGATTCAGGACTCAGGCAATGCGCGGATGTGGGTAGGCACCGCTTGAAATGGGAGCAAGTGACAAATTTAGTATAATTATTGAGTACCACATTAGAGGTAAAGACTAAACAAGAGTGACTGGAAATTAGGGCCTGTTTGGATATCCCAAAACCGTGGTTTCAGAAGCACTTTTCCGCAAAACGAGATAATCTCCTCTACATATTTACTTCGTAATTCGTAAAAGCACTTCTGAAACTATGGTTTGGTTTCTATCCAAACACACCCTTACTCTATACACAAAGTAAAGAATAAAGATAAATCTAATGATACAGAAAACATATGAGATGGCTTTGAGGTTAATCTGGTTCAATGTATAACCCGATTCGTCTAGGAAGCTAAACTGCAGAACGGTGATGCCCATCACAGAAATTTTCAAGCCCGTAATATAATCGCCTGGCTTGAGCAGCCTTAATGGAAAAGTGAAATACCAATGGTTTTCTTTGCTTTGCTTTGTGGGTATTTGAATTTTCTTTCTTTGGCGTTTAGTTGGTGAGGATGACCAATCCGGAGATTCCATGACGACGATGACGTAAAACATATTTAATTAATCTAGGGCCAGAGACAAAGGAATTTGTTAAGGTATATTCCCCCCAAGGCCCCAGCTTGGTGCCCAAACGAAAGGATACTTTTCTTAATTGCCTCAGGTACTTTGTACTCCGCTGCTTAACGTAAAACATAAGAGATATGATATTTTTTTTAAAAATATAATAATTATTTTTTTAATATCTTCCCGGTTATCTCCTACTTAATTATAGTTGAGAGAGTATTAATAGAGGTCATTTTTGAAAAAAATTAATAAATATGATAAATAAATCCTATATTTAATACTAAAATCAATTCAATAATTAAGTTATATACTAAGAAAACATATATATTATAATTTGGGGCCCACATCTTCGTCCGATTGTATAAGGCGTGGTAAAGAATATGTTGAAAAATCTACCCGAAAAAAAAAGAATATGTTGAAAAATATGGTGACTCATTTAGGGTTTTAAACCCCACTCTTATGTTTTCGTGTTTTTATTGCCAGAGAGCAGCTGTCTAGCCTATTCTCATGAACTTCGTAAGCTCAAGGCCCAAAGCGCCGACCCATTTTTTCAGTTAATTAGTTCACCTTTCAGTTTTATACTTTTAAAATGATTGATGAATCAAAATGCATTGAATAAGGGTTTTTGAGTCAAGCAAAATTAAATTCAATCGTTATGTAAGTTATCTAATAGTTTTATTAATTTACATACATTATTTTAAATAATACTCATCCGTGCTTAAATATTAGGCAAATCTAATAACTACTCCTCCGGTCCTAATTATAAGACCCAATTGACTTACTTGAGGAGATTAAGGAAGTAAGTTAAATTGGTTATTTATAATAAATAAGTGTTGTTATTCCTAAAATATCCTTGCTAATTAAGTATATTGGCTAAAACTATCATTATTAGAAGGATTATCTTGGAAAAAAATGCATAAATATAAAAGAAAAAATGGATTGGGTCTTATAATTAGGACCAAATAAAAAGTCAAATTGGGTCTTATAATAAGGACCGGAGGAGTAATTCACATATATCATGAAAAGTTATTTATCCTTAACCTTCTGAAAAAAATGACAGTCACTTCCAGTTTTATTCTTATCTGTGTCATTAAAGTCAAAAAATAAATCAAATTCATTTAAGGACCTCTTTTTTACTCTTCTTATTCTATTTATAAAGTAGAGAGAAAATAAATTTTTTGATACTATTTATAGAATAAAGAGAAAAACTTTTGACACGAGTGTGCAATTTTACTTATTTATTATTGTATTGAATTTATTCACATGAAGCATAATGTTATTAAATAAGAATAAAATAAAAAATAAATTAAATTTTAAATAAGAGTTAGTGAAATTTAATATTTTTCTTGACTTATATCAAATATGTAGAAAGTGATTTATAAATTGAATCAAATGAGTATTTATTAAATTTTGAAGAATCGTTATTAAGAGACTGGTATCGTCAATCGAAGACTAATCAATCACACTATGACCACTAATGCATTCTCATAAAAGCAAAGGGAGAAAAGATAAAATAGACAGAAATTTTGTTAATATGACAAATTGTCCTTCAATCTGGATCAAATAATAATTATAAAAGTTGCGGGAGATTGACTGGTCTTCGCTATCGACAAGATTTAGCAGGGGATTGTATTTTACTACCTCCAGTCTTTAATATAAAAACTAATTTAATATTTAATTTATTATAAATATAAAATCTTAATTTATTTTTTTTATATTTATTTATTTATTATAATAATTATACATGTTGAAAGTCCCGTCAAATAATAGTTTTAGTTAATATATTATTAATAAATGTATTTTAGAAAAGATAATATCTATTTAATTTATTATGGATAACTAATTTTTTTAATCTACTCAAATTAGTCAATCATGTCTTATATTAAAAACTAGAAATAGTATATAGTAATAATTAATAATTATTGGCCGCTGAAAAAAAAACATCCATAGATCGCACTTAATTATAAACGGATTGAGAGTCATATAACCTCACCGATAATCCACTCCCCAATAACTATGAACTGGTCAAATGTGATCATCTGCTCATTTACTTTATTTCCCTCAATCTTTCAAGTGCTTCTAATCCTTCACATACTTAAATGATAAATCTATCCACTACATATCACATTCTGAATGAGTCAAGCCATTAAGATTATAAATATTATTGTTCATCTGGCTCTTGATAAAGATGTCCTGCCATTCTTTCTATTAAAATGCGGACAAAAATGGAAATCTCACAAAACCAATATAAATGGAGTCGACAAACAGTATTTTATTATAAGCATAATAATACCTTTATTGAAAAAGTGATGCTACTTATTCTGCTCCTCATTGGACGGTATTCCAACTTTTTGACCTTTCCATTTTTTGAGTACTCCCCGTCCATGTTGCAATGTTTGTCTGCAAGCGATGAGTCGCCCGCCACTCTTGCCTGAGGCAAGTCAATGTATATCACTATCTATAATTAACCATAATACACGTTCTTTGACGCCACTCAAATCTGTTGGGCTAGAGGTCTGAATTTATCTCATTGTATCAACGCTATTAACACGGTTGCAACAGGATGTGATTACAGCCATCCGTTCAGCGACCTTGTTGACGAGGCAAGATTAATTATTCATAGGAACTGGGTCGTAATCATGCATGTTGAGCGGTCTTTTGTCACAGCGGCTGACTATATGGCAAAGTTAGCAGTATTATAGAAAATTTTGTCATCATTGATTAACCTCCACCTTTTGTTTTTGTGGTGGCTCTTTAATGAAGGGTTGTTAGTTTATGTTTGAGTTTATATTTTTGAGTTATTAATAGAGTTTTTCAGTTTCTCAGTAAAAAAAAAAAAATTTATGGTGAACCATGTGGCTTCATTTTCATACTCTGTGATCAAGCATCACGTTCTATTACCTCCTTAATAAACTTGCAGATTTTGCCTCACAAACTCGTGCCTCCTGTGTTTTACCGCCATCTAGTTATATAAAGCTAATATTTGAGTTTATCATAAACAAAAAAGCTAATATTTTAAAAAGGGAAAAAAAAGTTCTTCCGCCCTGTGGTGGAGGGTATACATGCGGATCTATGTTCAATTTACATTATAATTTTCTCATACTCCTCCGGTCCTTAATATAAGACTCATTTAACTAATTTGATTATATTAATGAAGTTAGGTAAGTTAGTTAATTATGAGAAATATGATGCGTTTTTCCTAAAACACCATAATCATCTTTCTTAATACCTCATCTCTCTCTTCTACTTGATTATAATTGAGGGAGTATCTATAGGGGTAATTTAGAGAAAATTGATAAATATGAGAAATGAGTCTTATATTTAGGACCAAAACCAACTCAATAATTGGGTCCTATATTAAGGACCGGAGGAGTACTTCATATAACATCTAATTAACTAATATTAGTAGATTAAGAATGTTAGTTAAATTAATTAATATGATAAATTTTTTTCTAAAACATTCTAAATATCTTTCATAATTTTCTCCCTCCCTTTTCTACTTGATTATTCTTAGGAATATTAATAAGGTTAATTTGAAAAAAATTGGTAAACACATGAAACAGACTTTATATATAAGACTAATATCAACTCTCTAATTAGATCTTACATTAAAGACAAGAAGAATAATAATTTTAATAATAATGTTTAATTAATACTCTTCCAGATATAAATATAAGACTTATTTTATAGTATAATTTATACCACAAAATAAATTTTATATCTAAAAGAAAACCCCTATCAAACAAAACAGACTTTATAGAATTTCAAAAAAAGGGGGGGGGGGCCAGTGCTTCAATTTTCGTTTTGTTTTTGTTCCAATAGCCGAAGGTAGCACAAAGACCCGCAGGAAAAGGACTCGCCCAGGATTAGCAACTGGTGGGGTCCACGGAAAATGATTTCCGACTCCATATGCACCACAACAGTCTTCCGTGGGAGTGTGGGACCCATCAGCGGTGGAGACCAGCGGAACGGCCCACGAAATGAAACAATTGGAAAAAAGGACATATTTGTCATTGCGCTTATGATATTTCAAGATTCCCTACATCGTGTCCACCAAAGGCTCCATGTGACTTGCCCGTGGGACCCATTCCTCACCTCATAACGATGACGACTGCTCTTCGAAACAATCGGACGGACAGAAACTGGTGTTGTACTCTGGGGGTACGATGCGATCAGCGGATCCGTATTCCGGCCTCCAGAGAACAAATTTATTCATTTACTTCTAGAAAGACGTGCTCTTCGTACGGGAAAAAATTTCCTCGTCAGTGACTAGATTTGTTTGCAAAAAAGGCTGAGCCTTATCTACTTTTTTACTTTTAATTGCTTAAGAAAAAGAAACATGCGTGAGTTTTAAATATTAATAATATTATTTTTAATTCTTAATATAAAATTTTATTTTAATTTTATTTTAATCTTAAATATAAAATCTTAATCATTTTGTCTATCATATTTATATATATTTTTAAGATAGTTCTTTTAACAATGATAATTTTAGTCAATATATTTGATTAGTAAGGATATTTTAGGAAAGACAACACCTATTTATTACAAATAACTAATTTAATTTCTTTATTTAATCTCTTCAAATTAGTTATCTAACTCTTATAATTACGTAGTACTATTAATGAAAATACAACCATTATAAGGGTAATTTAGCCAACATGATTTTGAAGGTTAGAAACTTTTCAACTTTCAGTACTTAGATGCTGTGTAAGTTTTTGAACTGTTGATTATAAATTCCGTGAGCGATGGCGTCATAAGGTGTTTAATTCTGCTAGCAAAAGGTTAAAAAAGCGTGGTCCTGTAAGTTTAATTTGAGGAAAGCGTATGTGTGCTTTGCTTTTGTATAATATTTTACTTTAATATCTTCATTTGAAAAACTATTTTTTTAGCCATTTAACTATAAAATTATTAGCTTCAAATGATTTTTTTATAATAATCATGATTATTTTAAAAATTAAACTCAATATATTGACATTTAATAATGTTTTATCAACATTTAAAATTTCAATATCATCATTTATTTGGTTAACAATTTTAAGATTAAATGACTGAAACTATATTTTTTTTAAGTTAAAAGACTAAATTGAAACTTTATGTAAATATAAAGGATTAAAATTATATTTTAATTCTTTAATTTTTATGAAATTATATTATTTGAGAAAATCGAAATACCTTATGGCGGGGAATTATTTTATTTTAAGTGCTAGCATATATATCAGGAGAGACATTTTGAACAATGTGAGTAAAGAAATTAATGCTGTGTCACTTCTGCTCGCACAAACAGTTAATTTTCTGGCCAAAGATTTGTTTTTTCCCTTTCTCTCTTATCTAAGGTGAGTCTGCATTCTTTGATAAATTTTATTTGACGAATAAAAAATTAACACCTCCCGGCCGTAACTGACACCACGTCATCTTCCAAATTCATCCGGATCGTCGGAGCACTATGATGGAAACAAATGTGATGCATCTGATTCTAACCCATCTGCCTATCTTGCATATTTCTCTTCTTTCGTTGTTGAAACTGGAAAGCTTTGGACGGGCGGATGCGGGAAACCTACCAGAATTCTTCCTTATTTATTTATTAATTCTTTTTAATAAAATATCGTTCCGTTACTATATATATAAACTTTAAATAATCAATTCATGTTTAATAAATTAATAATTAAAAATAATAAATACGTTAGATGTATTTTTTTAAAATTTATTTTTATTTATTAAGAGAATAAATGAGAGACAATAAATAAATAATAATAAAAATATATAAGAGTAATATTAATAAGAGAGAAAAAGTACTAAATATAATCAACTAAAAATAAAATAAAATAAAAATAAATATTTAGATAAACCAAAAAAATAAAGTTTATATTTTAAATCAGATAAATTAAAGATTGTATATAGAATCAGATAGAATATTTGAAACAGTTTATAAGTAGTTTATAAACTGTTTTTTAATAGTTATTTATAGAATATGAGACAAATATGTTAGAAGAATTTGTTTCGATTTACATAAAACAAACGTGTATAAATGGGATATTTTACGTCATATAGTAGTATTTCATTAATAATCAGCATCGAACGGTCTAGAATCGATTGCTCTCTCTATGGGAAAACTGCACAAAATCTCACTGGATTTCTCTCTCTGTCTCCTCTTCTCGTCTTATATAGGAGTACATCCGCAAGGTTTTGTGGTGGGCGTGCGTTTCTCGTTCGCTCTGAATCAGTCATGAGGCCGGCGTTTCGAGCTCTCTGAGATTCGCATCTCGAACTCTCATTTTCCTTTTGCTTTCTTGGGAAACACGTACGAAAGTTGGAGCCCTTTTTGTTCCTCTGTCTTTCGCTCTGGTTTTACAGAAATGGGCAGCGGACCTAAGACTCTGAGGAGCTTTCATATCCATGGGAAGAAGCACGAGTTCAGAGACGTCCCAAAAGGTTGCTTGGCGATCAGGGTGGGTCAAGGAGAAGACGATTTGCAGAGATTCGTGGTGCCTGTGATTTACTTCAATCACCCTCTCTTCTTGCAGCTGTTGAAGGAGGCAGAAGAAGAGTTCGGGTTCGATCAAAAGGGCGCCATAACGATTCCTTGCCACGTGGAGGAGTTCAGGTCCGTTCAAGACCTGATCGACAGGGAATGGTCTCTTCACCACCACCACCACCACACTCACGGTGGCTGCTTCGGATTTTGACAGACTCTCGTCGAAGCCGCCGGTAACGGAAAAAGCAGAAAGAAATTGAAGATCTTTCCCTAGGAATCAGTGATCTTTTTCCGGCTGTATAGCAATCCTAGTGTTTAGGTTCTTTTTGGTTTCTGACTATCAGTTAGCTGATCAGACCCAGAAGTTGGTGACCGAGAAACGAAATCTTTCGGGTTAGATCTTGAAGGTAGGACTGTAAATTCATGGTGGTTGGTTAGGTTCTTTTTGCTTTTGGTGATGATAGTGACGAGAGAATGTTGCATCAATTTTCAACTGTAAGTACTCTGGTGTTTTGCTGGGTAGCCCGTGATATATGGGAATAAGAAAGTACTACTGTTTTGCTGCTTTTCCTGATTGAAGGAATTTTTTTTTTCTTTTACCAACTACAATCATGTATGTCACATATCATATCTAGCATGATCGTTTTAGATCTGGAGGATTTAACTTCATCCATTTGATTGATAATGTGGGAACGAAATAAATAATCAAGTGAGCAAGACTGGGTTGAGGAGAGTGATATGAAATCAGGTGGAAGGAAAGAAAGAAAGGAAAAGGAAAGGAAGGGAGAAGAGAAAGAAAAAGAAGAGAAGAGTGAAGATGATCGAGGGGGTTGATTAAATTGAAGATGAAACAGATCAAGGGCGTGTGGAGTTCCGTTTAAAACGGATTTTTAAACAAGTTTATATAAATCGAGAAAATTTTTTAAAATATATTTGTCTCATATTGGATAAATTACATTTGAAAAATTATTTACAAGCCAATCCAAACAAATCTTAAATCAGGTGTTTTTGTCAACACATTAAATCAGTAAAAACAATCTAATTGTTAGATAAAAACGAGATTTTCCATGATCCTTTGTAATTAATAATGTGAACATTTTTAGTCAGTAAAAATAGTAAATTTATTATTTTAACATTTTAAAATATAACATTTTATCCTCCCTTTAAATTTTAAGGCTCAGGGCGCTGCACTGAATCACTAGGATTTTTTTTTTTGGGGGTAATAGAATCACTAGGATTTGATTGTGGGGTACTCTCCCTTATTCTGAATATAAAATTCTTTTAATTAATTTACAAATTTTAAAAAAGTAATTGTTTAGTTATTATAATAATTTTTGGAAAAAAATGCTCATTATTTAGTAATTAATACTTAACGCTCCATACTGTTAAAAAACTAACAGTTAATATTTTTAATAATAGAGGGTAACATTGCCTCAAATTTGCACCAATAAAAAATCAAGTGCTCAAATTTTTGAGACAAATTTGCCCATTAATCCAAAAATTTAATACTTTTATGATTTTATTTATAAGTCAGTTTTAATATGTTTCACACGGATAAAAAAAACCTTAAACTTCATTAATTCTCATTTAAAATTCAATAACTTTTTAATTTTATTTCTATTTAATACATACTATACTTCATGTAAATAAAGTCAACACACTAATAAATAAAAGGTAAAATTATACATTTATACAAAAAAATTTTCTCAATATTCTATAAATAGGATCAAAAAATCTCTTCTCTCTCCTTATAAATAAGACTAGAGGAGTACGTATATAGAGTAAAACAAAAACGATGTTCTTATTTTAGAATTAAATTGAAAATCTCGAATGCTCCGCGCAAGGGAGAAACAGATGAGTATTTTAATTGTGACTTTCTGTTGGGGGTGTTGTGATTTGGAGCGCATTAAATTGGCTTGGTGGCATAGAAAATTACAAAATCTAGAGGCATCGTCAGTACTAAACTTGGAGACCTGGAGTCATAAACTTCACATATGTAATCAGGAAGTTTGTGTAAAAAGATGGACCCCTCTAATTTTCCTAACATTTGACCATTTCGACATTTGTGGTCCCAACCTCTAAACCAGGGGGATGTCACCCTTTGAAATTTATGATATTCGTATTGCTAATATTACTACATTTTAAAACCACTTTTTAATTTTTTTTTCATCTTCTATATATAAGAGAATTTGAACTTTTGATCTCAACCTCTATTTCGAAAACTTATATAAACTGCAACGACACATAAAAATTAAAATTATTTAGTTATTTTTATTCTTTAAATTCAGCCGATCAGACTTCTTGTCCACCAACACCAGTTGATTAGATCATAAAATATCTCATAGATAAAAATATTCTTTTCACTTACTTTCTTTTTCGTTTTCATCCTTTATCATGTTATTTTGTAGCAGTCAGCTGGCTTGGAGGGAAAAAAAAAAAGAATTTAGTTTATTTTGCTGTTTGTTTGCTTTGCCTACCATTTCAGTGTTAGGGCCCCGAAACGAGGGTTTCCTGTTGGGTTTTCTTTTGAACTTCTGTTTTAGGCATGGTGAGATTTTACTCTACCTTTTTTTTTCCCTTCTGTCTCCAGTAAAGAGGGGAAAATAAAGAAAAAAGAGCACCGAATCCAAAGTTCTTAGATTTAATGGTCAAAAAAAGTGTATAAATGTGACACTGGATGAGAGCATCCATTTTTAGTCCGAGTTATCATACTCCTTCTCATTCCCGTGTTCTCATCATCGTCCGCATCTCTTTTAGTCCTTTCTCTCAAAACCAGTCAGTGTGGTGCGCTTTTTAACAGGGATCATTTGAAACACTGCAAAATAATTAAATCTTAAATTGAAAATATTAAATATAAATTAAATGAGTCCCTTAAAAATTTAATACTAATATGTTTTAATATACTTAATATTTACAAATTAAACTTTCATATTTAATTATAACTTGAGTTACCAGTCAAACTTATAAATACTAAATCCTTCTAATCCTGTTAGTATAAAAATCAATTGTGGGGACATATCTGTAATTAATTTGCTTACTTGGAAGAGCAGCATGACAACGTTCCCCAAAGGTTCAGAATGAGAACTTGTTTTGTCAAAATTTAGCGGCAGCCATTGACCGCAGCGCCCTCGGGTAGGGCTTCAACTAATCTTTGGTTGCTTCTCATCATTTTCTCTCAAATAACTAAATGTTCAGAGTCCTATTCTTCTGCAGTAAGGTGAAATACTACCTCCCGTTATAAGATTGTAAGCGAGGTTTTATAATTAGAACTGAAAATAGTATTAATTAGGAGGCCTATGTTTGATCTTATGGGCGTCATGCTCACCTCAGCAAATGCCACAAAGTTCAGGTCCAAAAAAAAAAAAGCCACAAAATCACTCCCTTTGCTCTCAACAGCATTAATTAATAGCTGGGGTCAGATATTTAATTATCGCTTCAAACTGAAATCGCACGTGAGTCCAATCAGCTGACTAATCAAGATTAATTAGTTTAATAATAGTGAGGATCAAATAATCACGCAAGCTGCCAAAGCACAACAAGGCATTGAAGATAAGCTCAATCCATCATTATTTGTATATACGCTTATTCTACCTGAACTATATAGCCTCATAAACCTCATCTCATCTCATCCCTTACCCGTCACGTGTTGTGCAGTGTGATTAAATAGGACAAGTTTCAGAAAAAAACACACATGAGATCTGTGCGGCAAAAAAGATTGGCATAATGGAACAGGAAAGAGATTCGTGTAGGGCAGATGGGACCAGCATGAAAATGAATGAACTTCACAGAAAGAAAATAGTAACGCAAGTGAGGGAAGGGACCTTACTACCTATACATATTTGCACCCCTCTGTTCTTGGTGGAGGCAGCCTCTGCTGCACCACACAAGCACGAGCTCCTCATGCTGTGTTTCTAGTCAACACATCATGTTGGTTCGTACAAATTAATCGAATTCCTCTCATCACAGTTCCCTTCTCATCAGCTACATACTCACATTTAAGTACGAAGTCAAGTAGCTTCGTTCATGTAAATCTATCTTTTCACTCACCAAAATGTTGTTATAAACTTCGTAGTTCTTTCTTCAAATAGATTACTCAAAATGTTTCTGAACACGGGGATCCTCTGTTTGTCCATATGCCTCTGGTTCTTAACGATGGACTTGATTTTGTACTCACACTGAAGCCCAAAGACCTTTGATTTGCGTGAAAGGGCTCAAGGACATGAATATTATACTCGGACTTTCACCACCACACGGCCTCCATTCTGTCCCCGAATCATAATATCCATGACTTAGTGACTAAGCGGCCTAGGAGTTTGATTTCCCTCCTTAATTCAGGCGAACCAAATCCAACGAGCATCATATCAGCATCTTCACTTTTCGGGCGGAATATGTGCAAGCAAACAGAGCAGATAATCAATGGATTATTTCTTTATATGTCTTCATATCAGTATTCACTGGTATTAAGCTTTAACTAATAGGAAGGGAACCTTCCATCTCCTTCCACCATGATTGATGAAAATTATTTCTTTCGTGTATTTTCTGCTTTCCTATTGCTTTATCTGCTGTATCTTGCGAACAGATTAAAGTCTGCCGCCTGCATAAATGCTCTGTAACCTTCCTTGCTTGAGTAAATACAAGGACTTGATCATTCTTTCCAAATGAGATTTGACCACTTCTGTTGGAGACAAGGAGAATGTTTAGGTCAACAATCTTGTTTTCACAATGCTCTCTCGAGTCTCAAAGCTTGTCTTAAAAAAATAGCTACGACTAATAACTATAACTAAACCATATAAAACTGCCTCATTTTTGCCTCCGGGGGGCGTTGGCATGGTGATGGATTCTTATCTCGTTGGTTTTTGATTTTGAGAGATGGAGACAGGGGCCCGCACAGGCAAACGCCATGCGATTCTGTTCTTTGATTTGCTGCTTCTGGCTTTCTTTTTTTGAACCCATTACTTGAGTTGTTTAAAAAACTTATGGATTTATTATCATAATATTTTAGAATTTCAAGTCTTCATTTTAACCGTGTTATTTCAAATACTTACGTTAACATTGTCATTTTCAATGTGAACCCCAACAAAAAGATTTTAACTACATAAATTTTAGATGTGAGATTTTAAATCCAAAATCCAAATCCAAATCCATCTATCCATCCAAAGGCAGTCCAAAAGAATTCATATAAATAGCTATAATCAAGGAAATTTAATTTAATAAAAAGCATAAATCATCAATGTCAATATTAAGTAATATAAAATATAAAATTTCCAAACAAAAACAAGAATATAGTTTGGAAATATACCTACAGGTAGGGGTGTTCACGGGACGGGATGGGACCGGGACAGGCCCGTCCCGGTCCCGTCCCGGTGAACAGGGACGGGACAGGGTTTTAGTCCCGTGTCCCGTCCCGTTCCCCTCCCCGTTTTTTTTAAAAAAAAAAATACTATAATTTTTTATATGAAATTTGTTTATGTTATAATGCTTATTTTTTGTTAGGCTTTTAAAGATAAAAACATTATAAAAAATATTATGTAGAAAGCTCAATTATATAGTATAAAAAAAGTGTAAAAACAATACTGTAAAAAAAAATACGATAAAAGAA